CCGTGGGAGAAAGAGACCTGGCCATCTGCTTTTCCACAAAGATTACAAACAAGGAAACCTTATGAGACACTTCAACTTTGTTACATGGAATCGCTATGAGTTGAAATTGACTTGATGGTGTCCATCAACAACATTATACATACACATGCTCTATAATTACTTATGCATATACTTTATTGGACTATAATGTAACCAAGCACTTGTTTTGAATATCAAGCAGTTTATCTAAACACTCATCTTCCCTGTTTAGAACCACATATTTTGTGGCCATTTGAAGGACTCTTGAGACAAATCCTTGAATTTATGGTTAAACAACTGAAACTTTAGAAACTGAGAAATTGATTAGTTGATTTTCAAATGACTATTATGGTCTCATACAGGTTTTTAAGACTACAGGAAAAAATCATTGGTTTTTTTTGGACAGAATACTTATAATTAGGAGTCTTGATGTGGCGCTGTTGGTTAATGCAATGGATTGCAAGGTTGGTTTGAATCACAAGGTCAGTGGTTTAAGCTCACCAGCCGCTCCTCAGAAACCCTATACAGGGTCGCTATGAGTCTGAACTGACTTGACGGCACTTAACAACAACAATACTTATAATCAAAAGGTTTAGAAAAAAATTGACATAATGTAGTCCAATATTTTACTGAATTCCATGTTTTCCATTTTTTTAAAAAAATAAAGTGGATGCATTGCAATGATGTCTTCAGAATCTGTGTTGAGTAGATCATGTAAGAGCCCTCCTTGAATGGAGTCTAAAGAGTCTGTGGTATAGGTGCTATACAGCAGCCTGCTAGTCAGCTGGACAGTTCCCTGAGAGTTAAATTTCAGAGCTGTCAACAAAAGCACATACTAGAAATACAACACCATAGATATGTATTAAAATCAATTGCAGTTTATTGTCTTCCATAAACATAAATGGATGTATCCAGTAATGAAATGATGATTGCAGATCAACCTAGTGTTATACTGTTGATGACTAATATACGTGATCATCTGGATTTCTCTACCAGTATCATTTTTTGCTATATTTAACACATACGGTGCTAAATTAAATAGCTATAACTTACCACCTTCACAACTTAAGAGACAGAAATAATTACCATTTACTAACTGCCCCAATATAGTAGGTGTCCTGTGTAAGGTTGTCCCATTTTCTTGCTTAAATCCTCGTACATCACCAATGAGATAGATGCTATTGTTGGTATTCTGCAAATACTCATATAGTGTGACCACTCAGACAATTTAATTAATTTCCACAGGGTCAAATGGGTAGTAACAAAGGTGTTACTTAAACTAAGCAATGGTTCATAAAATTGTATGGTTATGGCAGTAGGTGGGACTGTATGTAGCTATCAAAACTAAAAAAAATTCTTTTTTGTTTATATTTCTTCATGAATCCTGGCAGACCAGTACTTAACTCTAGATACCTATCGACTGTCAGATTTCAGATTTTTAAAACAAAGAAGTACTGTAGAGAATCTAGGATGCCAAATGCAGCCAATATCTTCTAGTTTCAACTTATAAAACTCCTTATGTTGTTTTTTTTTTTCTCCTTAGATTTTTGTGGAAAACTTTATTATGCTTTCAAGTTATTTTCCTCTGAATAAGAAGCTTCATTAGATTAGTACAACTCAGAACAGTGGTCTGGCATTAGATTTACTTCTCGTTCTGTTGTCTTCATTATGTCATGAATAGAACTGTAGTAGAATTCCCCTTAAAGCATTTAGTAAAAAGTGTTTGTTCATTCATTCTGAAAGTGGTTATTGATTGACAACTTTGGGCCAAGCATCAGACTCAGTCTGGGCATTCAGAGATGTATAAAGCAGGTTATTTACTAGTGTTATATTTACCTTAATTCTACAAGCCAAGGTATATTGCGTGTAGTTTTTTCCTGGGATCTAGGCAATCCTGTAGCAAAGTATGTTTAGTCTAAATTACTCTTGACCGTTTCATTTGTCCTGCCTGGTGTGGTGCTTTGTGTAAACACTAAGCTGCAAACCACAGGGTCAGCAGTTCAAACCTACTAGTCGCTGTTTGGAAGCCCAATATGAGCTGGAATGAGTCAGAACCAACTTAACATGTTCAGAACTGACGCAACACCATTTAAATGTAACAACAGCAACAAGTATTAAATAGTAGCACAGTCAGCCTAAAATGACTTTTAAATCTATAAGAAGCTGAGTGTATCTAAGATAGGTTGTTAGCATTGTTTGTTTCCCATGCATTTCCATGGAAAAGTCATGTGGTTTTGCAGAGTTTGTCAATGTTTCCCACTATATCAAAATTACCTGGATGTAGTTAAAATACAGATCTTTAGACCCTCCACACTTACTGTCACAGACTCTGTAGGGAAGAGGGTTGGTAGTCTGTACATGTAAAACAAAACGAAACACAAAACTGTCCCGTGTTGATTACAGCTTTTGAAAAATTGAACAAACAGAAATGTAGCATATAAAAACAACATGGTGGAGTGACATTTTTCATGAGTATATAAAGGAAATATGCATACAGCATGAAAACCAAAGTATGATATTCTATTACATTTGAGATAAAATGATACAGACTGTATCATGTAAACACTTGTGATTCCTCTTTTCATTTTTAAAATATGGGTTATATTCAGAAGTAGGAGAGAGTGCGTGGCTTATGATCAAGGGAGGCAATGGATGATGCATAAGACCATAGTTAGTGTTGGCAGAGCCTGATTAGAGGCTCTGGGCTGTCTCTGCTGTTTATAGGACTATAGAGCCTAAGCTGAGTGAATCGGTAGTAACCAAATCCCCTGGTTGAATATAACCTCACTTACTAGTACTAGTTAAAGAGCGCTGGTAGTGTAGTGGTTATGCATTGGGCTGCTAATCTCACAGTCAGCAGTTCAAAACTACCAGCTGTTCCGCCGGAGAAAGATGAAGCTTTCTGCTCCTGTAAAGATTTACAGCCTCGGAAACCCTATACAGGGTTTCTGTGAGTTGAAACTGACTCCACGCCACATAACAACAACACTAGTACCAGTTGCTGCCCAGTCTAATCTGACTCACTGCAATCCCATGTGTGTTAGACTGATTTTTTTCTTTTTCTGTACCTGTGGATAGGGTACTGACAAGTTGGAATTGAATCAGTGGCAGTGGGTTTTTTTTGGTTCTGGATGAACTTGAACCTCCAGCCTTTCAGTTAGTAGCAGAGCATGTTAACTCTTTACTTGCACTACTTTGGGATTATAACACCATTTATCTGCACTTAAATAAGCTCAGTCTTTGTATGAAATATGATGGGGGCCTATTAAGAACAAAAATTTCACGTACAGACCTGTTTTTCATAGTGAAAGAGTACACTTTCTCTTGGAGAGTTCAGCTGAGACAAACCATTAAAATAAGAATTATCATGAGCATAAGCAGTCAATTTACAATATAAGGTCAGTTTATGCAAAATTGATTTTTCTTAGAAAAATCACAGAAATCTCTAAAAGGTGGTTGATGACTTCAATTAAATAGTTATTTTACCCATACAAACTATTCTAATTAGATGTACTGGTGAAAGAATTTAGCACTGTAATAACTGAGGAGATTTGTTGCTATCAATATGACTTGTCAGTGTATTCAAATAGTATGGTTACAGTACCTCACAAAGTATTGCATATTCAAGACTTTAATGCATACTTTTTACTAAAATAATTATCTCAAAAGAATATAATGTATTTTACCCCCATTTTACACTGTACATTTTCTAGAGATTAAATGTGTCCATTTTTTGTTTTGTGTTGCTTGGGGATGTAAACCAGAAATGTCTTTAAAAGGTTAAAGGTTAAAGGAGAGCTTTGTCACTAGAATTTCTTTACAATGAGTAATCATCCCCATATACATTGGGAGCATGTGGGATTTGATTCATTTAAATTGTAAATTTCCTAAAACATAGGTTTACAAAGCTTAGTTTTAATTGTAATCTATTTGTTATGAGCTAGCTATGAAGATGTTTTACTGGAAACAAAATGTGACTTGAGTTCTTTACATTTATTTTTCTAATAAATCAATGCAAGTAAAAATAGAATTTAAAGCTTTTTGATTCTTCTGGATTCATCAAAGGTAACCATTAAGATAGTATGGCAGCCACCCTAAGAGTTTTAATTTACTATTATGTGATTTGGAGTTCTGATGTGTTACAGAAGGATGAACACTTGACCTCAAGGTCTGTTTGAAATGCAAGGTTGATGATTCAAACTCACCAACCACTTCTCAGAAACCACGTACAGGGTTGCTATGGGTCAGAACTGACACAACAATACTTAACAACAACAATTCTATGGTTTCATAGTATTCTGGAAATTTATACATGTTTAAACGTCAATCTAGAAATATGGTGCTTAGATTGTTAAAATGAATGAATTTCTTTATGCTTTTAAACGTTTATAAATAAAAATCTTGCTTTGGCAGTTAATTTAGGTGAATTTTTACTTGTTCTAAAGCGGGGGTGGGGAATATTCTTTTATGCCAAGGACAATTTGGATATATGTAACGTCATTCATGGGCCATACAAAATTATCAACTTAAAAATTAACCTTCTATACTTGGTAAAACATTCAATGAACTTGCCTCTAATGTGATGGTTGGAGTCCTGGTATGGCACTACAGGTTAATGCACTGGATTGCACGGTCAGTTTTAACCGCAAGGTTGGTGGTTCAAGCTCACAAGCTGCTCCTTGGAAACCCTAAACAGGGTACGATGAGTTGGTACTGACTTGACGACATTTAACGACAACAGCAAATGTGATGGTTAGAACTACGGTTTCCTTGGCAAGGCCAGACCAAATGACTTTGAGGGCTGTATATGGCCTGCAGGCCGGACATTCCTCACCCCTGTTCTGCAGGTATAATAAATATGGACAGTATATTGTGTGAAAAATCCAAGATAGAGTCAAGTGGTAATTTTGCATTATTTTTTTTTTGGGTTTTTTGGTTTTTATTATTTTTTAAAATGTTTATTTTCTGCTTTTGTGTTTTAGGGTCGTTGCTCCAGGGAGAACTGCAAATACCTTCATCCACCCCCACATTTAAAAACACAATTGGAAATAAATGGGCGCAATAACTTGATTCAGCAAAAGAACATGGCCATGTTGGCCCAGCAAATGCAACTAGCCAATGCCATGATGCCTGGTGCCCCGTTACAACCCGTGGTGAGCTTATATTCAGACCTCATTCATTTAAGTTTGTAATTGCTTGTACTCAGCTTCATATTAAAGTGATTGCTTTAGATCAAATGATAGAGCAATATCAGTTGTATTGCATTTTCCAACAAAATTAAGTATCAAACCCTGGAATAATTTTCATACTGTGAAATTCCTTATCTTCTGGCAAAATCGTATGGAAATTAATATTATAGCACTTACCCCTCCTCTAAAATTCTCATCACATTAAATCCAGCAACATGCAGATGTTAAAAGTGCCTTTGTTCTAAAATGGTCATCAAATTTATCAGTATAATGAATGTACATTTTCAAGCTACCTTTAAAGAAATAGTGATTTTAAAAATTGAATTATGAAGTCTTCAGTTTTGAGAAAACTTCTCCCTAGGAAAGAATTACATTTTTGCCCTTTATTTTCTTGGAAAAGAGCCTTTGTTACTACTCTTTAAAAACTTAAAATCATTTTTCAGTCATAATACTAGGAATATTCTGGTAGTAGTGAATCAAAATATTCAAGGACTCAAAAGTTTCATCAGAGGAGAATAGGACAGGCAGACATTTCAAGGTTTAAAAAAACAACAAAAAACTGTGGGTGATCATAGATACTTAATGTTTGTTGAGCAATGCCATGGGTTAACTCTTGATCTGAGGTATATATATGTATTTGAGTTTTTGATGTGTGTGTGAAAAATGACTAATAGTAATTAAATTTATAAAGATGTAAGAGATTAACAATAATTACTTTTAAATATTAAAAAGCTTTTGATATTGATTATAATATATTAATTCCTTATTTAATTGCATGCTGGAATTTGCAAGGATCAGAACATTTGTTAGTCATTTTTCTGACTTATTTATAATCAACATTATGGGGCCATCTGGATGTGAAAATCCACGTTTTCCTGAAGCTATATAATAGTAATTTTTCTAGTACATTAACACCTGAACTCAATGAAATTATGATTTTCTCTTAGAATTTAAGTCAACAATAATTCGGTGGGTGGGGGATTGTATTTCCAGGTAGGAGGGGTTTCCATATTACATCTGTCGTGAAACCGATTATCAATACTATACACTGGAGGTGAGAAAATTTTATAATCAATCTGTCTGTTTTAAGCTTATTTTTGTCATTATTGCTATTTGTTGTTAAGTGCTGTTGAGTAGGTTCTGACTAGCAACCCTGTATAAGATTTCTGAGGAGCGACTGATGAGTTTGAACTGCCAACCTTGTTAAAACTGACCTTGCAGTCAAGTGCTTACCCTTCATCTCCCCACCAGGACTCAGGATTAGGGGTTCCCTTAAAATATAACATCTTCAATTTATCCCTGTGACATCTACTAGTTTCACACTTGTTTATTTGGATAGCATAATTATTCCATTTGGTTTAAAAAAAAACAAAACAAAACTTTGTTAAAGTCATTCTTTGTAAAATAAGATCTAGTTAAAGAAATGTCTTTTAACACTTGACCCTCACATAGAGTTTCAAAGATCTGATAAATCTTTAGGGTGATGACTACCTTAGTTGATACCAGATCTTTCCTTGATACGAGCTACTTTGTTCTACTTAAACATTTATGACCGGCTTACTGCTACACTCCACCCTGCCTGTGGCTCAGAGTGCCTCTGATATCAGCCAAGTGTGGTTCATGGACTGAAGAGGACAGTGAGCTCCTTGCTCACTGTGAAGTCATGGCCCATTTCCTGAGCTAGTCCTTGAGTCTTAATTCCAAGGGTGTTCCAAGGTCATCACATGTGCAGTTATGGAGCAAACTATAAACATTTATGCTCATGTCTTTGGACTACTCGTAACATATTTGTTGTTAACAAATTTATTAAATCGTCGCTTTATGAAGCCACCAGAACATTCTGATGTTTTGGAAAATTCTCTGCTTAGAGAAGGCATTTATCTCTATTAGTTGTGACCACATTCAGACTTTATGTTCATGTTTCTGAATGTGGAATTATTACCCTTCTGCTAAAGGTACTCTGAGATCATATTCTAAAAATATACTTTTTTCAGAGTGATACTGTGTAATAAGTATAGAAATCATTTTAATCAGACAATTTTAAAGCATGTAAGATTTTAATGAGAAAGGTTTAAACCAGGAAATTTGACTTTGAAGCCCACCTGGGACTCTTCCATCCTTTTTGTTATCAGCGCTGTTTAGATGAGGATAATGGCATGGAGATTCAGAAATAAAATGGGATGAGAACTGGAACCTAAATGATGGACCTACAAATAGGAATTATAACAGGGCTGAAAGGAGCCTGGTAACAATACAAGAGGGACTTCAAAAAGTTCATGGGAATGTGGACTTGAAAGATAATTGAATATTCCCACAAACTTTTTAAGTCCCTTCATATGGAATAGAACTTGTCACTCAAAGAAAATTGCCATGAATACAGACAATAGTGTCTAAGGGCATGGTTGGATACAACCCAGGTATTGGTGATATAGAAGGAGTTAATATTGTGTGCAAGTCCAGTCTCAAAGCTGCTGAGTAGGGACAGAACTTGTAATCAAATAGCGAATGGTTTCTTCATTCTAGGGAAGCCAGCCAGCTTGAAAAGTGACCCCAAACAGAAGAAGAGAAGGGACTAGCAAGATCTAAGCAAGTTGTTTTGGTGCTATAGGATAAGCATTGGATTGGTGCCTGCAAAATTGGCAGTTCAAACCTACCTGCTGCTCTTGGAAACCCTCTGCAGGGTCTCTGGGCCTCAGAACTGACTCTGTGGCACACAGCAACAGCAAATATTGTGCCTAAGGAGCCCTGATGGTACTGTAGGCTAAGCACTGGGCTGTTAATCAGAAGGTTGGCGGTTCAATTCTACTAGCTGCTCCATGAGAGAAAGATGAAGCGTTCTGCTCCTGTAAAGATTTACAGCCTCAAAAACCCTATACTGGGTTGTTATTACTTGGAATCAACTCAGTGGCCATGGGTTTGGTTCTTGATTAATTTTGTGCCTGACATGTAGCAAAGCTCAATAAATGTTTAAGGAGCAAAGAAAGCAAATGAGGAAGGAGTTTCTTGAACCTCAAGCCACCCACCCTACAAAGCAAACAAACCAAAAAAACAGGCCGATTCATGGTAGTTTACCTGCCCCAGAGTCCAAAGGAGTCATAATCAGAAACCTTATTAGCACAAGCCCACCATGGAGACTGCAACACAGAAAGAATAAAAAAGTGAGGACATTCTAATTTGCTGTTAGCAAAAGCAGCCAAGGACTTAAGAGGGTAATGTTGAGACCGTGAAACATCTGTTTTACCATGCAGTTTGGGCTCTCGTTTTCTCATAAATTGTGAGTCTGTGGTGGTGGTGGTGGCGGTTGTGTGCCGTGGAGTCAGTTCTGACTCATAGTGACTGAATACAGTGTCTGCAGTACAGGAGTGGAGACAATGATCTTTACCCATGGAGCGAATGGTAGATTTGGACTTCTGACCTTGTGGTTAGCAGCCCAGACAGTAATCCATTACTCTACCAAGACTCCTTGAATGGATCTGTAGACTTAAGATATTCAGAACATGACACTGGACTGACTTGGAAATGCAGGAATTCATAGAAGAGTTTTCTGTTTCTGTAGACTTTATAAGGTTGGTACGGTGCTTTAGGATAAGCACTGGACCGAAAGGTCAATTTGAACTGCAAGTTGGCCATTCAAACTCACCATCCACTCCTCGGGAACCCAACACACCGAGTCACTATGAGTCAGAACCAACTTGATGGCACTTAACAACAACAATGAAAACCATCAAACACTCAGAAAGAGGAATGATCATTTTTGGGCAGAAGGAAACATTCTAGGAATATTTACCATAGAGCTGTACCATGTAGAAGTTGATAACATCCCAACTTTAGAAATGAAGATTCAGAGGTTCAACGAGGTTAGGTAATTTGCCCACGTTATAAAGCTAATGGACTTCTGGTGTGGTGCTGTAGGATAAGCACAGGACTTCAAGGTCAATTTAAACTGCAAGGTCGGTGATTCAAACTCACTAGTCACTCCTTGGAAACCCTATACTGAGTTGCTATGAGTCTGATTTCGCTTGACAGCACTTAACAACAACAACAACAAAGCTAGTGTATCACAGGACCGAGTTTTTAACTTAGGGCATTCAAATTCTAGCAGCTAGCATTTGATGGAGGTTGGGAGAAAGCCAACAGTTGTAAATATACCACCAACCAACTCTGGTATAAAACTCATGGAATTCTGAATGTATTTTATGAATTTTATGATAGCCCAGGCAAAGAAAAGTCAAAAGTTACTAGCTTTAGTAAAACTGTTGGAGTTTCTGCCCGCCAGCTTTGCTGTCTCCATATGGTGTAGCGTTTGTTGGCAGGCAGATGCAGAATGCTTTGAAGTCATATTTGTCACACTTATAGGAACATCTAGAATTCTTAAATTGTTCTTAATGCTTTACTCTCCAGTTTATCCATGTAATGTTTAAGAGTGGTTCTGGTAAAATGTCCCCACATCCGTCACCCTGACTTGTTTTCATCCATCCTGCTGTTCTTTCTGTTTGTCTCCATCAAAGAAGGAGCCCTGCATTTTAGCAACAGTGCCATGTTTGTTGTAGTTAAGTGCCATGGATTCAGTTCCAACTCATAGTGATACTGTATAGGGTTTCTGAGGAGCATATGGTGGGTTTGAACCACTAACTTTATAGTTAGTTGTTGTTAAATGCCATCAAGTTGATTCATAGCACCCCTGTATAGGGTTTCCAAGGAACAGCTGGGTGAGTTTGAACCACTGACCTTGCAGTCCAGCGCATTAACCCATAGTGCCATTGGTAGTCCAGTGCTTCTCCTACAGTGCCACACCAGGTTTGTTGATACCTTTTTATTAGAAGGGATAAAAGTAAGTCTTCTTTAATTGTTCATAGTCTCAGTAAAACTTGACTAACATTAGAAACAAAGAAATAAAGCAAGTTTTCATTTGATTTGTTCAGTCAGCAGAATGGTCTAGAAAGAAAGAGGATAGTAATACTTCC